ATTAAAAATCAGACAAACAGATGACAGGATTTTATCCATTAAGTTGGTTTTTTATTACCTTGGTGGCTTTCAGCTAGTTGTGTAAAGCTGGTTCAGCCTGTCCTTCATATTTCTGGAAGTAGATGAGCTTCACTATGATTTATTATTATTATTATTATGATTTGAAAAAAATGATGTACATAACTTTTCAGGAAATAAACAGAAAAATAAAAAATGGAAAATGCGATTTCACTTCCCGATTCCTTTCTGTAGCTGTGCAAACGTGTCAGCATTTCTGTGCTACCAGAGGGGAGAGCCCTAAGCTTAGTGGTTTGTGGTGTGGTTCTTTGCCATTCATGTAAAATAACTGCTCAGTCAGCACCTGGAGTTCAGTGACTGATTGCTGTGGCCTTTTTGCTGTCAGATGGTGCTTAATTACGCTGTACTGTTCCATGCATTTCCCGTGTCGTGTGATTGGTGGTGCAGGGTAAACTGACTGCATAGAACTGAAAAACACGAGCAAGAAACTTTGGCAAATTGCTTCTGACCACCTAAATATTAAACTTTTTTATTTTTTAAGGGACAACTGGCTCTGGTCAGAGGAAAAGCAAGGGTGGTAAAGTAAGCCCCACCAATTTCTCATCGTCCGCTCCCGGTGGTCGGCTGGGTGGCAGCGTTGTTCTGCCGAATGGAGGGCTGACGATAAGGGACCCTGCAACGGGAGCACAGTATGTGCAAATTCAGCTTCTTCAGGTGAGAACTGAGGAGAGGAAACATCTTTACCTTATTATTCTAGCTGGAGCATCTGTAGAAGAATCTAAACGTGTACTCCTCGAGATGGAAATCAGAGGTCTTCAGTGTGTGCTCTGTTCGTCGGGGCACTTGCCCACACGCTCATGGGAAGTTTATAAGAAAAGTGGCTTTAGAGAGGTCTGGAAAAGCCTGAAAACAGCTGATTCAATCATGCAACTGCTGGGACTAGAACCAATGGGCTGTGGAAATAGATGTTTTTATTTTGTTAGTGCTAATATTTTCAGTCCAGCCTGGATCATACAGTGGGCACTGTAACTGCAGGGGGGAGCATTTTGTTCATCTTCCTGAGCGCAACTTTTTCTTCCAGTCCTTGCTGAGAATGTGTGTGCTCTATTCTTGTTCCCTCTTTTCACCGAATGTCTTACATTGCTCCATCTCTCCCATATACAAAGTTAATAAGGATGGTGTGAAGATTCCCACAAAATGAAGTTTCAGCTGAAACTGATTTTCCTCTTAACAGCTGAAATAAAAATTAAGATTTCTCTGTCTAAAAGCACCTAATAATCTGTGTGGACTGATCAGTGGAGTATTTTGAACAGTACACTTTTAGCCTGGTGCATATCTGTGTAGTATCCAGAGAGATGATAGGTTCTTTCTGCTTTATTCCTAACAAGATTTGATACATGAGAAGCAATGGGGGGAATGCTTTGTCTCTTTCTGATGGGTGTAAATGCAACTTTTCTGTTAAGTAGCAGCTTCACGTAGCTTGTATCCGAGCCTTAAATATAATGGAAGGTGAACCTTTCCTTCCCTTTTAGATCTGGACAATTTTCCTAGTTGATTATAATAGGGACAATAGGTTGTGTACTGAATAAGGTTTGAATTTAAGTGGTAGTTAGGATTTCTCTTATCTTTGTGGATGTAGGCCTCGTACAGTGCAGTGGCTTTATCAATTCTTTAAGACTCTGTGGCTGAGTGGAATTTATTGTTCTGAGATGCTTTGGAGTCTTCTAACAGCATCACATTTCTGCCTTCACAGGATGATCCCTCAGGAGAGGGAGATTTGCCCTTTCAGCTGAGCTCTCAGTCCTCCTCATCACATTCTCAGCTTACGGTGGATTTACCTGTTCACATACTTCAGGTACAGCATATCAGAGCCATTGGGTTTTATGGCCTTGCTTGAAAAGTGAATAGTTCATTCTAAACACCGATGTTCTGCGTAATGGAAACACCTTGTTTACTATGAGGAGTTCAGATTCAATTGCAGGAAGTAGAGAAGTGTACTGCAAGGGTTATCTTGTGTGTGTTACCAACCTTTGACATGTCACAGGTGGTTGTTTTTCTACCTCTGTTAGTGGGTAATGAATAACAAAATGTTACTCATTTATTATTGGAGTGTCCCGTCATTATCCTTATCCTATCCTGTAGATACTGTGCAGGTCAAGATTGAGTATCAGAACTGATATGTGTGTAATGGTCTGCAGGAAGGATGGGAAGTGAGACAACAAAATCTTGATCCTAGATGTCAGAGAGGTGTCTACATGGGAATGGCAGTTAGGTGAAAAACAGAGAAGCGGTGTCTGAGTGGGTCACCAGAGTAGGAAAGCTTTGGAACAATTCAAGCCATTCAGAGCATTTCTCTGATCTTGGGTTAATGTCAGGATGTTCTTACTGATAAGCATTAAGAGGTGAAAGTACTGAACTTCTCTGCTGTTTTTGTTTGTTTTTTTTTTTTTGCTTCAACAGGAACCACACAATTCTGCCGAAGACGATGCAGGTTCTGATAACTCTCAGTTCACTGGAAGCACAATAAACTTACAGGATCTGGAATGACCATTATTAAGGACAGTTACTTGAAAGCCAATTGAGCAATCGTGTCTGGACAAAATAAGAGAACTCTGTGGGTCTTCTTCTGAGGAGAATAGGAAAACTAGGAGTACTGGATTACGGTTGTGCTTTTTGCAATTTGCTAAAGGCAGTTACAGCTGAAAGGTTTTCTTAACAAGTGTAAATCCTACTTGATGTGCCTGTGTAGCATAACCCAGCTGCCTAGCGGTTGCAGCCCAGCGCAGGCTGCTGTACAGTGTTGTTTCAGGGAGAAGTACTCGATTAAACTTCAAACTGAGGTAATATTTACTGTTTTCAGAGGAAAGCAAGTATTCTGCAGCTAACAGAAATTAATAATCCTGCCTATGACGGCTCAAACTTTCCTAAAATTTACAGATATTTTACATGCACACACGTGCACACAGATTGTTCTGGCCCCCGTGTTTTGGCAGAAAACTGGAATCAAGTGTCACATGTAACAAAGCTGATGCCCTACACCATGAAAATGAAATGTTCTAAAGTTTTTGTTTTAGCAAGCTAGATTCTGCATATTAACTTAGCTGTGAATCAGTTTGTAGCTCATGTTGAGTTTCTCCCTTTCCTTGTTCCCTCATCCCAAATAATCTGCTGAATTCTTCCAGCAAAACTTGAAAGAGAAACGCAATAGAATTGTACTCACTGTAAGTGATGAGCTAAGACTCCAAGTGTCGAGAGAGGTTGGTTTTTATCTTTGTGTTCCCTTTTTTGGGAGGGATTTTGACAGTCACATAAGTTAAGCACCTTGATTATGTCTCACCTACGAACTGCTGCCAGGTTGCTTGTAAACTGGCCACTACCTTCTTATTTTTTATATATTTTATTATTATTATTTTTTAACTCTGTCAACACTTGTTCTTTACTGATATCCCAGAGTATCACATGCATGTGGGGTTTTTGACTGGTTTACAGAATATGCAGTTGTTAGAATTTCATGGGAGGGGAAAAAGAGCTGTTAGTAAGACCTGCCTCACTGAAAAACTGCTATTTCTACTGGAGGGCAGTGGAAGAGGTTGTACATACTGAACTTGTCTGGACTGCAAACACCTAAGTAAGTATAGAATTGTATAGGGGGGAAATTAAAAACAGCCTTTGGTTATATTTTGAGGTAGTAATTTAAAGGTTTCTCATGGTGGTGTACTAAATGCCTATAAAATGACGTATAGGAATTTGATAGAACGGTGTATGTAATGGTTTTTTTTATTCTCAATGAGGTGTGTGTGCACATATGTGTCTTTTTTTACAGAATAAGGTATGTCATGCAGAAAAATATTGTGATCTTTCTAATCTTGCACATATTTATTTGACAGTTATACTGATGTTGAATTCACATGAGGTCATTCAGAAAAGCTTTTACTTCCTGTGCCTTTTTGAACTATGTATGTGTCCAGAAGAATGCTTTTTTTGGTTGATGACTTAATGGGAAAAAAGAAAAAAAAGTATGCAGGTTACATCCAACTTCAGATCCCAATTCCTGGACAGTATTTTATCCTCTGGTTGAACCAGTTTTATTTTTCTATCTTTTGTTTAAGTATCTGAGCATTGAGGTGTCTCTGTTCCTTTCATCCTGAGTTTACAGCTTATGCCCAGGGATTCTTGTTACCCTCTCAGGTGGGGTTTCCAAACCAAACTCGCTGGTAGGGGAGATCATTTACTTGATGGCTGTGACCACAACATAGAATCCTCTCCTGAAAGGTAGGAAGGTGGAGGAGGAATCATGCTGAAGGGATAAGCGATTCTTGCTCAGTGCTCACCGTGCTCCATCTCTAAAAGCTGAGACTCCTCAAGCTGCCAACGCCTGTGTTATTCTGTTCTCAAGGACCATACCAGTTCTTAATCTAATACAGTGGCCAAGGAACACTCCATCTTTTTATGGGACTTGCAACTTAATCTTTCTACTTCTGAAAATGTACCTCACTCAGCTTTGTAAATGAATGTAAAGTGCTAACCTCTTGGGGCCGACAAATGGATCACTTGGCTTGAAGTCCATTGCTGGCAATGGATGCCTGAAGAACTACTGGTGCAAAAGGGTTAATAAAGCTTTTTTTTATGGTCAGCTTGTCACTGGGTATTGTTCTTTATATGATTGCACCTGACATACAGTTAATGGTCAATGGCTTTGTTTCTGTAGAGCTTGTTTGTTTTTTTCCTCCTTTGTATCTTCACAGTAGCAGAGTGGAGTCCACCAATCCATCCTTCAGATTAAGGCAGAGACTTCATTTTATAGCTATTCACCTGATCTGTGGTTATGATAAATGGTAAGTGCTTGGCTTAGTTGTGCCATGGCAAAATTGTTACCTAGGACATTGGTCAGGTTTTTAGGGATAGAGCTATTTGCATCAACAACTGAATGAGAAAAGCATTGCTAGCAGGAGCCAAAGAAGCAAATTAAGAGCATTTATTTTATTTCCTTAGTTAAGAAAAACAATGAGTGGTTGCCTGACGCTCCTTTCCTTTGGGTCTTGCAGAGGTAGGAGGAGTTTCGTGAAGTTCATGATGTTCTCACACTGCAAATAGCTTAAGCTCAGACTGGAGCTACAGAAACCTTTTTCTAGAGTGCTGTCAACCCTATGTTAAGTAGTAAAAGCTGTGCTGTCAGGTAAAATAGTACAGTATTTCTTCTTTCTCCTTATCCCTTTGTTCTTGGTTGCGCTTTTTCTTTTCCTTCCTGGCAGGTGGGCTGGAACGGAACATCAGCCTTCTGCCGGTCTGCAGAGAAAGAGGCAGCAGTGTTTGTTAGAACAGCACCACGAACCACGTGTGCTGTAGGGTTCTCTTGCTGCTGGGGATCATGCTCCTTGCTAGCTGTTTTCGTGGCAGGGTTGAGTTCCTCCCCCATTTAATGGCTGGGTTTGGGTGCCTCATCTTCCCCGAGGTGGGCTGCAGAGGTGAGGTGTGTTCCTATGGATCGCTGCACTCACCTTTTTCTGCATGATTGCCTGTGCTCTCTCCAGGGCCCGTTGCAGTTTCTCCTCCTGCATCTGCTTCCGCTGTTGTTCCTTTTCCTCTCTCAGCCTTTTGAAGGGAGCAAAAAAAGGAGGTTGGAATGTGCACAGATGTACAAATATGCTTTTGACCCATTCCTTTTCTAATAGTGTAAGACCACTGGAATGCAGGGATTTGGATATAGATGATGCTGGGTTTTAAATGCTCTTTGAAGGTTTTTGTTTTGTTACTCTTTTGTTTTGATTTTTGGAGGCAGGCCGGGGCCAAGGTTTGGTCAGATTCCTTCACAGATTCTTCTGTTCCATCCCCAGAGCAGAAAAAGTGTGTCTTGCTTCATCAAATCACAGAATCATTTTAATTGGAAGGGACCTTTAAAGGCCATTAGTCCAACTCCTTGCAATGAACAGGGACATCCACAGCTCCATCAGGTGCTTAGAGCCTGTCCAGCCTGATCTTGGGTGTCTCCAGAGCCACATTTCTTTTGTAAGTGAAGAGTACAAAATCATTCACAGAACGTAGGGAGGAAGTGTCACATCCTTTCTGCCATAAAGGCAAAGAAAGACACAGAGAAAGAAGTACAAGGAAAATGTCACTTTGGCTTTAAATTCTCAAACTGCTTTGCTGCATTGAATCTGATTTACCCAGGGATGGCCAGATACAGTCAGCTCCTCAGTTATGTCTTTGCTGTTTGCATGGGAACTTCCATTTGTGTAACAGAGCCAATGGCAATGTCTAGGAACATAAATTTGTTGCGTTAATTGACTCCTGTTTTAATTAAGAAGCACAATTTAAACTGCAGAGATTTGTAGAAGAAACATTTGAATGCCGGCATTGCTTACAGGTGCCCTATATTCTTAAACAGAGGAGTCATTTTTTGTTCAATCAGTTCAATACAGGCACTTTCCTGGCCTCTCCTAACGCAGCTCTGGGCTGCTGCTTGCTGATCCAGCTGCAAGCACTGGGAGTGTGAAATTATCAGGGGGCTAAATTGGGATGTGGGTCCCCTGGGCTTTCAGATTACTGTTAATGTTTCCTAGGTTGATCTGACAAATTCGGCTATTTCAGGGGCTTTGATTTTGATTGCCAGTAGTTAAAAATAGAAGCCTCAGTTCTAGCAGTTCTTGTCTTACCTCATTCTCTGTTCTTTTTTCTTGGCTTTTTCAATCTCTGCTATCTTTGCAGGTGGAATTCTTTCCAGGTTGTCCAGTAACTCAATGAGCTTTTTTTCTATTGCTGCTAGCATCTCCACTGTCTCCATGCCTTCCCTGATTTCTCCAATGCATTGACCATAGATCTCCCTCACTTTTTTTCTCAAGCTTGCAAGCATTTTATCCTAGAGAAAAGAGGCGATACAGTGAGATGCACCAGTTGGATCCTGCCTGGTTAGAACCACTATATCCCTCTAAAAGAATAGAGAAGGAAATCAGAATGCTTTCTCTTAGAACTTGATTGCTTGCTTCTCAGTTTGCTTAGCAGTGCCTGGGATGGATGGCTATGGCTGGAGGAGCAGCTCATGGCTGTGCTGTCCCACTTTACCTCCACCTTGGGGTGTACCTGGACATCAGCTTCACGTTCTGAGGAAAAGTCTTCAACTCTGAGCTTCAGGTCTGCTGCTCTCTCTTCCAATTTGGTGACAGTGGATTTCAAGGTGAGCAAAACTTCTTTCAGCTGCGTTCTCTCCCGATCCCTGGGCCGGAAGAGAGAGGAGCTGTTTGGAAAACTATTCTCAAAACATCTGGTTCCTCTGCTGCTTCCACCCAGGCTGTCCCCGCTGCCGCCGGTAGGTGGAAGCATCACTACACTCCTTTTCTGGGCGACTTGCACCTCGGCTCGGAGAGCAGATTGGGTTTTTCCGGGATAGCGGTTACTGGGGCCCCCCCCCCCCCCCGCGAAGAGAGAGCACAGCTAAGTAATGTTGTAGGTTTTGTGACGAGTCAGTGTGGGAAGTAGATTCCGTTTAAAAGCACTCACTTCAAATGAGAGGCACTTCAAATGAGAAAAGGTGTGTCTACCTGCCATCTGCAATCACACTTGGGTCTGATGCCTTCCTCTAGGAAGGGTTTGAGTCAAAACAGGCACTGGTCTGGATCTCTCAGGATGAGCCTTGTTTCTGCCTTTGATCTTCCTTTAGAAGAATTACACCATCCTTCCTGGCTTACAGCCCCCAATGCTAAACGCATCAGCTCCCCAGCTTGTGCCTTCAGGGCTGTGCACCAGAGTGTGAGCACTGCATCTGATAGGGAAGAAATTCTTCACAATAAATGTGGTGAGGCACTGGCACAGGCTGCCCAGAGAGGTGGTGGTGCCCCATCCCTGCAGACAGCTGAGGTCAGGCTGGATGGGCTCTGAGCACCTGATGGAGCTGTGGGTGCCCCTGTTCATTGCAGGGGAGTTGGAACAGATGGCCTTTAAGGGACCCTTCCAACACAAAGGACTGTTTGAAAGTTGGGGCTTAGGGAACCCCCCTCCCACCACTCACCACAGGGTCACACTCACTTCCTTTTTTGTGTGTTGATGAAGATGTGTTGAAACTCATTCATTTCTTTCTCTGTCTTCTGGAAATCACAGAGGTAGGAGAAATTCTGTTCCTCCATTTCCGTTAAAATAGACAGCAGTTGTTGAGGGTCAGTAAAATACAGCTCAGGCTCCTGGAGCAGAAAATGTGTGATTTTATAAATAACTGCTTGTGTAGTGTGGCAGTAAGGCTATAAGCAAGGTAAGGGCAGGTGCTCCTGATCCCAGCTGTTCTTTCTCTGCCCACGTAAACATAACTATGTAAACCTGGAGGCTTTGTCCTCAGCTCATCCTTGTTCTGCTGCTTTGATTTGAAGAAGGTGCCCTAAAGCTTGCATATGTTATTTAACAGCATTGGTCAGTATTGGAAAAAAGTGTTTTTCTACGGGAATGTTGCCTAAATAACATGTAATTTGTAGCTCACTCTCAGAAAGAGACGTTTCCATGGTTTTTGGAACGTAGAAACCGTTCAATATCAAAATAAAATGTTTTTGTGACCCTTTTCTCTCTATTCCAGATGAAAACATAAATCTGGGTGAGAGGAACGAGGGAAATGCCCTCTGGTGCCTTTGCTTACTGGAGTTATTTGTGGCTTTCCCCCAGCAGGACAGTCAGGCACGGCCCCCAAACACTGCTATGTGACCCCAATTAAATGTGCTTACTTAGGGGGTATTACTGAGCAGACCCTGGCCTAGTTTAAAGAAGTTCTGTCATGCAGCAGAATGGCTCACTGGTTTCTTATGGCAGTGGATGTGGGTGCTGAAAGGTGAGTGTTTTGCACCTGCTGATTTATTTTTTTCACTCCTGTAACCTCCAAGCAAGCCTTTTTCTGAAGCTTTGCCTCCTTACAGACAAGGGCGGTGAGATTTGTCCTCAGCAGCCAATGTGGTGAACTCAAGAAAAGCAGGTGGTAAGGCTCATTTCAGGCTGCATTTTGGGGAGCAAAAAGTGTTGCAAACATTTGAGTGAGAAATCTTCCCTTTTGGATATAGTGAAAACTTCATTAACCTCAACGCCTCCTACTGTGATCATATCTTGTTGCAAGGTGGGGAGCTTTGTAATGATGGTAGGATTTTGGAAAAGAGAGGAGAAAAGCTAAGCCAAAATATTTAAAATATGGCTTGCAAAACCATGAATATTCATACATATATAAACATATAGTTATTGGCAATGGTAAGACGTCAACCCCACAAAAAATGGTTAGAAGGTGACGGAAATCAGTTATGTCAATACATGACACAGGACAAAGTTAAATATTTCAGTGTTAGGCTTCTGACCTCATCTTCATCCGAGCAGGCTTCACTCTCTTGATCCTCCGATGAATTTCTGAAAAAGCATTTTGTGTTATCAGGCCCTCAGAGAAACGACAACTCAAAAGAGACCCTGTTAATATACCATGAGTGAGGCAAGCAGCCAATGCTGACACCTACAAGCAGCCTCTGGCTCCAGCTGCAGGTAGCTGGCAGCTTCCCGTGCTGGCTGTTTGCTGCTGATCAGTCCCTGGAGCATTCACAAGTTTGGCTCCTCTTGTCTGTGGGCTGCTGAGGGGTCAGTAGGAGCTGTAACCCTGGCCCACAGGAGGAGCAAAAACCTCAATTTGTGTCTTCATAGTGCCAGGCCCACCTGCGTCCACATTGCTGCTGCCATGTGGCAGCAGCCCAATAATGGCAGTGGTTTTGTGTAAGGGGTGACCCTGTCTATGGTACGGATGCCTCTTACTGCCTGGGGCCTGTTACTGAAAGAAGATGGCAAATGCAGTGTCTACTTGGTCCTTGTGTCCTGATGACCGAACAGCTGGCTGTGGCCAACAGCACGAACCAGAAACTCAGCCACAAACAGGGCACAGAGAAGCTTTGCTCCAGGACGGTGCCCAGGTTCTCCTTTGAGGAGTAGGTTTCCTCTGTTCCAAACTCCCAGTCAGTTGAGTGCTCTCTATTATTTAAGTTTATTGAGGTTGGTTTTTTTTTTGTTTGTTTGTTTGGTTTTTTTTGGTGTTTTTTTTTTTTTTTTTTTTTTTTTTTTTTTTTT